GGCGGCTCCGAGTCGGGCGAGCCCGGGGCCGGCGGCGCGGACGAGAGCCGAGCCAGCCCCCTGCGCCGCGGCTACGTGCGGGTGCAGTGGTATCCCGAGGGCGTCAAGCAGCATGTCAAGGAGACCAAGGTGGGGCCCGGCCCGGCCGCCTCGTGAGCACCTCGGGGCGCGGGTCCGCGCGTGTCCGCCCGCGTCTGCGTGTCGAGCGGGACCCTCGCGTGTCTGGCACAATATCTGCGTGCTCGTGTGGGGGCTGTGCCCCAGACCACCCGGTCCCCGCCACTTTGCTATTAAGTGGGGATATTAGCACAGATGCATGTATTTGCATAATGCCTGCGTATTAAGGTATGGGGGCTGCGCCCCAAACTGCCCCATCCCCTCTTCTTTCCATATTAAGTGGGGATATCTGTATATATTTGCATAATATCTGTGTACACCTCTATGGGGGCTGCACCCTGAATCCCCCATCCCTGCATATTTGTATATGAAGTGAGGATATTCATATATTTGTATAATACCTATGTCTTCATGTGTGAGGGCTGCACCCCAAACCCGCTCCCCTCATGTTTGCATGTTAAGTGGGAATATTAGCACATATAATATATTTGCATACTATCTATGTATTTGTTTCTGGCGGCTGCATCCTGAACCCCGCCCCCATCCCTTCATATTTGCATATTAAGTGGGGACATTGGTGCACATAATATTTTTGCATAGTATCTGTATTTGTGTGTGGGGGCTGCACCCTGAACCATGCTCCCCACCCCCTCATACTTACTTATTCAATAGGGCCATTGGCATATATGTATATATTTGCATAGTATGCATGTGTTCGTGTGTGGGGGCTGCAACCCGAATTCCCTCCCCATCCACATATTAAGTTAATGTATTATGATGTATGCATATATTTGCATGTATTGAAGTGCACCCAGAACCCCTCCCCACCCCATAGTGCTCCCCACCCTGGCCCCAATCCTGGCGCAATGTGACGTCTGCCGTTGTTACCAGGCTAGGCCCCACCCGGATCTGAAAGTCACTGGCACCCCCCAGTGCTGCTTGTATCCTGCTAAAGTCAAGTTTTGCCCCCAGGTGTGCAGCCCCCCCATGCACCTGGGCTGGCTGTCAGGCACATGCGTTGGCTGCAGCCATGTCTGAGTGAAAGGCACGTTGCTTGGAAGCTGGTTGCTGCCTCGGTGCGTGAGGGACAGGGATCCCGGGGGCCGCAGTGGCCTGCCTCAGCCAGCCAAGCCTGCAGGCACTCCCCCTAGCCACCCTGTGCCCCAGTTACAGGGCTGCTTTGCACGGCTGCTGCTGGGAGCCAGAGAAGAGCCGTGGTCTGGAGTCACCATGGCTTAAAATAATTCCTCATTTCCTTTGGAAGCACTGCAGGTTCCTCGTGTCCGCTGGTGTGTTTGGGAGGGGGGAAATGAGCCACGTCAGGTCCCAACACATTCAGACTTGGTGTTGGGTTCTGCTTGTGTCTCAACTACAGACGGTGCGAAGTCCAGAGGCAGCCACCCGGAAGCCTGGGCTTTTCAGTTGAAACTGAGCCTCCCCTTCTTTCCCCACCCAAAGCTTTGAAAACTATGTGAAGGTGAATTAAACTGTGAAGAGGTCATAAAGGAGTTTCTCCACTCTTGGTAGAAGCCAGTACAGCGTATATCCTGTATCTCCTTCTCATATGGAGTGTGTGAGACGTCCGTGCTAGGTTTGGCCAGCTGAAGGTTTTAGACCAGGGTGGATTCACGGATTTACCCGTTTTTCTCTGCAGTGGTCCTTGCTGGCAGGCAGGCCTGTGTAAAGTTGTGACCCTTTACCAGTCTTTGAGAAGGGCTGCAAGGCATTGCTAGAAGGTTTTGAGGCCTGCTTTTCCACTGCTCCCACTTCCCAAAGTTAGCCTAGTGGTGGGATTGTTACACACAGTGACTGATAATACAGGGGAGACAAAAGAGAGGGTGAGAGAGGACACTGTATCATAATACAAAGGGGTCTGTGATGAATGGGCGTCACGCAGAACAAAACAGGAGGCCTGTGCTATCCTGGCAGCAGAGAGGTTGTATTCTGCTCTGTGGGGCTAAGTGCAAGCGTGATGCTGTCTGCGCAGTCTTTGACCTCCCTCTGTAGAATCCTCCCTGGACTTCTGAAGCAATCAGTGCATTTGTAATTCTAGTAGAAATCGGTAGGATCATAAAATGCTAATGGTCTGAGCTAAATTTGGGGTCTGTCATCACCAGGCACGTGAACAGTTAAGGCACACAGTATGAAATATAGAAGGCTATTAGTACCATGCACAGTATTTCTGCATTTCTTTTTCAACCCTTTTTGGACTTGTGGTCCATCAGGCAGTTGTTCCTTTTCACATGAAAATTCTTTCAAAAATGACTGAATTAAGAACTTTTAAATCAATTTTTGGCACCCAAAGCATGAAGCTTTGAATTTAGGATTCGTTATCAGGGTCCTTGAGTAGAAAACAGCAGTATCCATTTTCTCATGGCACCTTTTTTTCCTCTCTTCAGTATAGGCAGAAGGCTTGGCTCTCTTGCTATGAGAAATCAAAAGGGGTTGTTTAAATCAGTAGCCTTTTTCCTTTCTCTTTTATTGCCCTATTTCCTTTGCGAAGGTCAGAGACTTAACAGATGAAATGTGTTGTCGGGGGAATTCCAAAGTGCTGAAGGAATTTAGGAAGATGTATCCCTTTGACTTCCTCCTGCCCTTCCCCGTCTGAAAATTTGCCTCTACTCACCAAACTGAGAGACTGTTTGGTACAGTTTGGACTGCATTTGTGATTTTGGTAAACCTTACAGGGTGTTTCATTTCACATCTGTTCACAGTTCATAAAACTGTGTACCACTTCTGACCTGAATGCTGTAGGTTTTGCTAATACACAAGAAGCTGATGGCTTTCATTGTCCAAACGTGACGATGCAAAGTGTAAGTGCAGTAATGCAGGCTGGGAAGGAGGAATGGTAACTATTGCCGTTACAGTAGTTTTAGGCAACCAACTGGTAATAAAGATAGGGGAGGTTTCTAAACTGTTTTGAACAAGACTTTCAGTGGCAACTTTATTGATGAAACTACTCATTTTGCTTTCACAGAAACTATTTCACGCAATTACTGCTGATCTGATAAAATGTTGGATACAAGATGAACAGTTTTTCCCGGTCTCCTTTCCTCTCCTAACTCCTGGTTGGCATGTTATGCTAGAAAAGGAACAAAGGTAGGCCTGTGGCCAAGACCCAGGCTTTTTAATGAGCAGCTTCAGTCCTTTTCCCTGCTCTGCCACGGGTGGCTTATGCAATTGAGCAAGTCACTTGCTCTGCAGCTCAGCTTTGCCATGTGGAACTGTGGGTGTTCCTTGATTTTTAAACGGATGACGTAAAGCTCAATTCATCAGTCTTTGCAAAGAAAGTAAGGAATTTGCTGGCAAGTGCAAGCATCAGGTTTTAGAGACAGCAGAAAAACCCAAGTTGTAACTTCATGCAAAGGTGGCAGCAGATAACTAATTGCTTATAAGTATAGAAAATTGCAAGGTTGTTCTCTAGACTCTTGCCAGGTAAACTGAATTGCAGCACTTCATGCTTAGTCCTTCTAAAACCACGAAGTTCAAAGTAAATCTTCCTAATGGCCTGGGAAATGCACAAGCATAAGGTGCTAATCCTTTTCGCTTCTAGCTAACTTTCTGGCTTTTCCCATGCTAACATATTGTGGCACTGTGTATTGGTAATGCTGTAGACTAATATTATAATCCAACCCAGTTACATTCTACATTTAATATACCATAATACCCAAATTTGGGGCCTACAGTACTGAAAACTCACTGGCTCTCCCACCTGAAAAAAGAAGTTGTTCACATTGTTCATTCCTGGCCAAATCCTAAATCCTGTAGCGAGATTCTTCTCCGACTTTGAATGTCCTGGCTCTGTGGACTCCTTTGTTGCCTTCCACACGCGGTGTTGCATGCCAGAACAATCTAAAAATCTCCTCTGGCTATTCAGAAATAGTCTTGTATTTGGGGGAATACATGCTGTCCTTGGCCTGGCTTATCCTCCACTTCTTCAAATTCTTCAAGACTGAATAGTTCTTCTCGTTGATGTAAAACTGCAAACATGCTTCACATTGGAATTCTTGCCATTTCCGCTGGGCGTTGTTTGTCATCCTAAAGAGGAGGAGTCATTGCTGCCTTTGCAGTATTAATATTTTGTACCCAACCTAACTTAAGTCTCAAGAGTAGTTACTTATATTTTAATACTCCCAATGGAGCAGTGAGCAAAAACACATTGTGTATTTAATAGGAATAGGGATTACAAACTGCCATAAATACTACATTTCCTTCTCTTACCAGTTGCCAGCTCAGCTTCTCAATTCTCTTCACCAACACTGAGTTTCACAAAGGGAGATAGTGATACCGGGGCACAGGAGTTATCTGGGCAGCGGGGATGCCACTTTAAATGGCTTATTTCAGGGCCCACAGCAAACCAGCCTTTATTCATGGTCACAGTGCTTTCCGCACGAGATGTGCTTGCCTAGTGCTGAAGTGAAGTTGTTGCTGTGATGGTCCAGGAAATATGTGAGAGGTGGGAATTCTTATGCCTGATACCTTTTACTCATGGGACCCAACTGTATGGTCTAGGTGCGTTTGCTCCATTAGTAATAAACGGGGCACATTTAGCAATAAATGGGGTAGATGCAATATCCATCTGCATCCCAAAGATAATAAGTTACTGCTGTTTCTCAAGCAATGAGCACTGTAGGTGTGTGTGTGTGTATGTCATTTTTAATCTCCACATTGGGCTGCTGCTTTAATAGAAAAAGCTCTGGATGTAGTATATCATAAAAGCACTGGTAAAGCAGTTTGTTTGCCTAGCCCAGGAGTACACTGATGACATTGTATTGGCAGCAAGGCAAGGGGGCTGGGATTCATGGTCTGACCCAGTATGGTGCTGCTTTTGTTCTTGTGACTGGCATAGCAGGGTTGTGGTACTGTGGCAGAACTATGTTGGAGGTTTCCTCTACCATCTTGTTAGTTTCCCGAGCACCAAAAGGCAATCTGGCTTGAAAACATTTTTGTTCCTTTCATACCGGCCTGGCAAACTGATTCACACTAGCAAGGCTCCTTCAGAGCAAATCCAG